AATAATAATAATAATAATAATAATAATAATAATAATAATAGTAAGAAAATTTGTGGAAAAATACGGTCGATGATCTGACGAAAGTGAATGGTATTACTTTCATTTTGTCTTCTGAAGGGATTACCAGCTCAACGTTTCTTACTTCAGAAAGACTTAGTGAGGTTTTAGCTGTTTTGAGTTGCTCAGGGTCTGTGTTAAACAACACCACCTTGCTTCAGATTTTGCCATCCCTACAACACAATAAGCTATCTTAGATAACAGGACATATTCAGGTCAATTAAAAATGTTTTTTTTTCGAGAATGTGGAATATAAGAGGCTTCTTCCTGAATCAGTCAAATTTTCAGCAAATATTTTGTTTATTCGTAGGTCTACTTGTTCGTTGTGCATCGTTTGATATTTCAGCTCCTTTAGAAGACTCCAGGAATAGCTTATCTTAATTACAGCTGAAATAGGATTCGCAAAAATAAGTAGTACGCGTGATTTTGCCTCGATTTCAATAGATAACAAGTTGCTGCGGGCACACACATACACACACACACACAAACACACACACACTTACACACACACAAACACACACACACTTACACATAGACAACCCCGTGATAATGTGCGTTTTGTGCTGTGCAACAGTATAAAAACTGAAGCATCAGGTTGAGATGAAGCCTGTCAGTACACCGGTCCCAGTAATTATCCGAGAATATGTTTGCGTCTTGGGAGACACTGTCCCGAGATGTGTGTGATTCTCGTAAATTATTCTTTTTTCACGCTTTGATACAGGATATTAGCAAATGTTTTGTGCTATATCTGCACTGTAGCAGTGAGACAGCTGTCCGGCTTTCATTCATTTCCGAGAGATACGGTATCATGAGGACTGATCGTGTAGAGCTGCAGTGATGTTATGGGAATTGCAATTACATGCCAGACTTAGCTGTACTAGTTTTTTTAAATATTCTCCATATAAAGAATTTTATTATTAAATTAGCTACGAGAATTGTTATTATGGTAGGAAATTATTAAAATTTGTTCAGAATTGTTAATAATTTCATTTCTATATCTTAACACATCTTGTGTCGGCAAACCTTTGTTGTTATCCTGAGCTGGGTTTATCCAGCGGATACTTAGGTATCCTATACTTCGTATGGGTGCCATATCTTTAGGGGATCTCAGAGTGATCACGCTTGCCACTTAATAATGCAGAACGTACATTGGTGATTAGCAAAGCGTCCCAGAATTAGCATTTTGGCGCCGTCGCAGCGGTGTCTTGCATAGCATTCTGATTGCTTATATGATCACGAAAAGACACATCAAGCATCCTTTGCTCTACGACGCTGTCTGTCAGGCGTTCTTTATATTTTGATTAATCTGATTTCCACTCCTGCCCAAATGCTGCGTTCGGTCACTGTTTACAGCTAAGGGATGAAACACAGATTGCATCCTAACATGCCTTCTTGCATATGATAGTTTGTTTGATTCCTTATCTTGTACTGTAATTATTTAGAATAAGCTCTGAAATTTCATGGGATGCTAAATCCATTTTTTAGGTTCCGAGGAAACGGCCAAAATTTGAAAAATTGACAAGTATCCCGAATTTTCTGCAGCGAAAAGATGATTGCGAGCAGATGCTTCGTGATTATCAGCTGGAAGGCGTAAACTGGTTGTTGCATGCATGGACAAAGTCAGTTATATTACATTCTGTGTGCCGTTTTTTCTTCATGAATTTGTCCAGAACACAGTAGATTAGGATCACCATGAGGTGTTATACTCAGATTTTGCAAAGCAGCCACACCCCAAGCGCAGCCATGCCTGTGTTGCATCATGGCCCCTTCCTAGGTAGGTCGTGCACTGATGCGAAAGCGACCTATATAAGGCCGCCGTATCTGTATTGGAGGTAATATTTTACCTAGCGTAGCATGTTGACCAGTGTCAATCCCGTCTAGTATCGTCGATCGTTCCCGTGTAGTGTGCTGACCAGGACGACTTACGAAGGACGAGCACCCCTTTGCAACCCCAAGTAATTGCCAAGGAACCGACAACCCGACTTGAAAGGCCGCAGTACCTGGCCAGTCGACTGGAGCGCCCGGACCGGTGAACCCAGCACCTGGATTAACTCACTTGTGTGTTGAGCATCACTATCTCGCCTCATACATTCCCACTTGTGGTCCACGATGAGGAGGTATCTGCTAACTGAAAGATACACGCACATAACAGGCAAAAATCTCAAAATGTACATTGTAATTTTAATTTTAGATGATGTGTGCTTATGTAAAAAGTAAGAATTAAAAAGAAGGGAATAAAAAGAAGGTGAATAAGATAAATCGGATTAAAAAACCTGAATAGGAATGTTTCGGTCCATTAAGTCGCATATATTCCTGTTCGTGCCAGAGAGTCAAGCCTATTATCAGTTTAATTGCAAGAAAGTTGATGAAATGTTTGACTCTCTGGTATATGCCACTACCAGTTTACCATCGAAATAAATGAACGAATCGTAAACGGGTCCCAGTGGCGGCGTAAAATCCTCGACTTACTGAATACAACAGCACTACTTTCTACTGTGCCATGCTTAGCAGCCAAATTTTTTGTAATTTTTATGCGTTTTTTGCTGTTTAGTGGCGTTACAAAACGCATATTGTCGCGGATTTGTCTGTGCGTGTGTGTGTGTTTGTGTGTGGGTGTCTGTGTGTGCGCTGAGCCTCTGTACCGATTTTTCATCTCGAGACCGGCAAAAGCTACGGGACGGAAACTTTGGGGACTTAATCTGCATGCACGTGCGGGCCCCTATCCCCAAAATGGGCGATCTTTCCCGCGTGGTACCCACGTAAGACCCCGCCAAAATTTTTTACGGGTAAACTGCTAACTCGCGAACCAGAAAAGCTAGAAAGCTGAAATTTTATAGGAACA